TTTATTTTTAATTCGTAATGTGCTATTAATTGAAGCTAAAGTCCTATTGGATAGGTTCCCAATAAAATTTTCCATTTGGAGTTACGGATAATGACGCTAGGCAACCTCTTATGTCTCTGCGACCTCAACGGCTCTTTCTGGCCTTAATGGTCAATTGGACTGGGCGCCAATGGTCTTAACTCTCGGACTAACTTCCTAAATGGATAAATTTTATTAAGTTGCTAGACCTTAGGATTTTAAGTCCAACTACTTAAAGCATTATGGCTCTGATACCAGTAAAACCAAGACCGATGTTTAGACTGATTTTAATCTAATCAAAATAACATTTCAAGTAGTTGTTATAAATATTGTTTTAAATATGCAAACTAAACAACTAACTATTGTTATTAAATATTCAATATTTAAATCAATAGTTTAATCAATCCTAGAAATAATAAAACAAGTAATATCACAAATATAGGGAAGGGAGATATGTCTAAAATTATCCAACTGGTATGTATATTACCTCGAATTTTAATGCTAAAAATAAACTTTAATTGCATAGCACACAATAACTAATCATTTATTTATAACAAGATTATGATATAGAAAATTACAAGATTTACTGAGAGCAAATACAGAAACTATGAAATAGTTTCCATTCGTCAGGGCAGTAACTAGGTAGAGAACTGAAATTACAATCGCACATATGGTATATCATGCCATCTGATGCAGAAACATAAAAGTACAAAATAGGTTACAGAAACAGTTACCCGGAGTATTTATAGGGTTGAAAGAAGTACAACTTCCGGTAGGTCTACAAGGGAAAGTGTAGAACTCGGTAAGAAGTAAGAGTATATACAAAGAGAGAAGATGAAGAGGAAAGAAGAAGATGAGGGCTGGAAGCAGAGAGCTGGCTTAGCTTAGGGCTGATTTTCCGATCTGCCTTCACTGAGGACTTCTTCTTCCTTTTATAGAGTCCGGAACTCAAAGGATTATTAACTATTTTATATAAGTCCCCATCTTTAGTAGTATCTTCTTTGGCAGGTGGTGGTTTACTGTGACCAGCTGGAGGTACGTATGGTGTGAGTGGAGGCACTGTGCTGTCGGTAGAGGCACTATGGTGTCGGTGGAGGTATTGTGGTGTCGGTGGAGGTACGACATCTTCTAGAGAGAATCGACAGGTGTCGGTACGGTATCTTCTAGATGGTTGACAGAGGGAATATATATATATATATATATATATATATATATATAT